TAGCAATGAGGTTCCCCCCCCCCTCCCCGTATGAATCAAATATTGTCCCAATATTGCATGGGACATACTTACATTAAAAAAAAATCAAAACAAGACCAAAAAAAAGCAACCATCCAAACAAACAAAAAAGCCCCAAAACTTTATTATTTATCTTAAATTCAAGTTTAACTGTGTCTTATATTTTAATTTAGCAGATTTCACAACCCTGATCTCAAGCAATGCTTTTTGATTATGGCGATGGTAACAAATTGTCATTTTTTTAATGGAGAGGTTTTTTGCTATTTGGGCGCATGTGCTCACCAGACAGAGAGAGAGAGACAGAAAGCGAGAAATCTCCCCCTAGGGGGGATGGCCATGCTGCAGTCCCTTCTCCTCCGTTATCCTCTCGGGATCTTGGACACAGGCACACACATCCGGCGTGAGTTTTAAGCCACCGGGTCCAGGACTAAAACTGCGGTCGACTACGTGGGAGTCCAGCAACACAGCCATTACGCTAACTGTGGGTCCCACAAATTGTCATTTTTGAGGGAATACAAAACACTATAAAATGAAGGACTGAGTTCAAGTCCCTGTTCCATTTAGGCTTAACACCTGCTTTACTAAACCACGTACCTTCATTCTTAAAGGGAAACATGTATTTGTGTGGGATCCTTTCATTTTATTCTAGTTGCTGATTTTCAAGGGGCCATTAAAGCTGCTTGATGTAAACCCACTTCCCTTGTCTATTCACTTTCCTATCCTCTCAGAGGGCTACTTTGTTTCTTCTCTTCTGTCTTAAACCTCTCCATCCATCCTCCTAGCCCATGGTCTTACTTCCTAGTGTTGTCAAGGAAACAAAAGCAATTAGGAGAAAACTTCCACAATACTTCCACCCACATTCTTAAATCTGTGTCCAGGTACTCACTTCCCTCCTGTAATTATGCATGAGCCTTCTATGCTCTGCCAACTCAGCAATTGCTGGCCTTCTGGCATTAGTGATGTTCTCCTCTCTCCTAGATTATTTCCAATGGCTTTCAAGTAGAAACATTTCTTTCACTTGAAACTTTTCCTCTTAAACTCATCTACCTTTAGACATTATACAATTCCTCTGCTTGCCTGCACCCACAGCAAAACTCCTGAGAGAATTGGCTATACCTGCTCTTTCAAGCTCTTATTGGCTCACCCCTCCAAAGCAGTCTATATAGCCCTATACAGCCTGGCTCGCTTGTTACTCTGTGACCTCCCTTCTCTTTCTCTTCCTCCTGCTTCTTTCCTCTCTTCCTTCTGTTTCCTTCCTTTCCTGTCCTCTCTTTTCTTCTTCCCTATATCCACTCACTGCAGCTATATTTGTTCCCCTGCTGTTCTTCCCACCCATTCACCATTGTACCTTTTAGCTTTTACATTTGCCATTCCCTCCACCTGGAACACCCCCCTCTCCATCCCATAACCACATAAAGCACTTCCTTATCTCTTTAAAGTCTTTGCTGAACTGTCACTTTCATAGTAAAACTGTTTCTGACCACTTTATTTAAAATGGCAGCTGGGACCAGCAGATGGTGTAATGGTTACATTGCCGGAATTCCACGTAGTCAACTGTGTTTCTAGTCCCAGACCAGGCAGCTTGACTCATGATGGGCATGTGTGTGTGCATGCCCAAAATACCGAGAGGAAAATGGAGAGGGAGAAGGGATTGTGGTGTGGCCACCCCTCCTCGGGGTGTGTGCGTGCGTGTGTGTGTGTGTGATTTCTCGCTTTCTGTGTCTCTCTCTCTGTCTCTCCAGTGACCACATGCACCCTATAGCAAAAATCTCTCACACACAAAAATAATAGTAATAAAATAAAATAAAATAAAATAAAATAAAATAAAATAAAATAAAATGGCAGCTCTTCACTCTGGCATGTCTCACCTCCTCCCATGTTTCATTTCTTTGCAGCAATTTTCTTTAATCTGATTATTTATACATTTATTTGTCTGCTACCTCCACTAGAATATAAATTCCTTCACCACAAAATCCTCAACGTTAAGAATAATGTCAGATAGTAGAACGCATGAAAATGGGTATAAAATGCCTTGCCAACCTCACAGATTTGTTGGAAAATAATGTATGTTAAAATGTTTTGAAAGCTGCACAATATCATTTTTGTTTCTGTACTCATTATTTTTACCTTGACAATACACATTTTTAATGTCTGTTCACCATCATTGATTTATAAAACATAACAGTCATTTACCATGTGCACTATCAATACAAATGAACTAATGATTTTCTCTCAAGACTAATGGAGAGCACCCAGGAATTATATAAATGAATGATTAGAAGATTTAGTAAGCTATGAAAGGAATAAAATGTTATATTGTGTTTAACAAATTTTGAATCCTTATGACACACATACAAAGCATTTTATTAAATCAGGAAGGTAATAGAAATGACTTAGAAGAACTTACAGCTTGCTGAGTGATAAAGCACATACACAATAAATTTAAAGTAGTATTTTAAAGTCTGTGAGGACTGGATTTTTAACTTCTCACGTGAATTTTTCTATTTTGAAGTTTAGAGGATAGCTTAGTTGCTAGTGGAGAGGACACTGATAGATATTATGAGGGTTTAGCCCTCACCTCCAAATATCATGTGATTCCACCAGTGGTCATTTACCAGCTGTACGGCCTAGGCCACTTAATTGTTTGGAGCTTTGGTTTCCTCATCTCTAAGGCAGAGACACTAAAAGCCACCTGGGAAGGTTAATGTGAGGATTCACATTTGACATTTAATGTAACGAACTACCTAGCGTGTCAGCTGGCACCATCTGGACACTCAGTACATGATCACCCTTGTTGTCATTGTCAGCATGAACAATTTAGTTGGCAATTGGGAAATGAGAGAGGTCCGAAGAGGCCCAGAAGTGACAGCGAGGAAGGCTTTGTGGAGAAGATGGTAGGGGACCAGGTTTTGCTAGCTCTGACTCACCCTGTTGTGCTGTGTCTGCAGGTCAATCTCTAGAGCCTGGAAAGTGCGCTTCAGCTCATGGATGTCACTCTGGCTGCTCCGTACAGCTGCTGGACTGGCCACCTCCTGGGACATGGCAGCTGACTGTGAAGCCAAACAAAGGAGGGTTCAGCATTGGGACCACATGGACAGAAACTTTGCCGGGGCGGGGGGAGGGGGTGGCACCTTTCCTTTACCTGCTCTTTATACCAATTGTCCAAGTCTTCATGTTTCTTCTTTATTATAAACTCGTACTCCTGCCTCATATCCTCCAGGACCTTAATCAGATCTTCCCCTGGAGTTGCATCCACCTTCACATTGACCTTGAAGGCATTTGGCACTTGGTATTCTTCTATTTCCTATTTAAAAGCAGGTAGAAAATGAATAGGTTGTGACAATCAGAAGGATGGAATGTTGTGTTAATTGGCAGCAGTAAACGGATCTTTTAAAAATTCAGCTTTTATGGTTGCTACACTTTCATTGGTTTGGTTTGGTTTGTCAGTTATTACTTGTTGATAAAATATGTTATATTCTTTTCTCCCCCTAATAATTGTATAAATTAAGAGTAGCACAGGACAGGTAGTCAAATGGCCTCTGCAATTACTCTCTAAATCCCTGAGAAAGAATTATGCTTCCATGGTGTGTGAAGTCCTCTTTGGCAAAAGCTTACTGGTGAAAGGGCTGTACAATCAAGTAGTTGAACATTTCAAGTTATAGGTTGAAGCTTTTGGGTCACAGTTCAGTAACTGGGCAGAGGCTTTTGAAATCTTGTCAGTACCTTGTGACTGAAGTACTGACATCCATAAAATTTCATGAATACCAAGAAGTCACAGGAACAGTTTAATTAACGATCATTGTTTAAGCAGCTACCCAGAAACCAGGTTCTTTGATGTTCAGAAGTAATTTTGTTTGCCTAAAATGGGAGTTATTTTTCTGTTATTTTATCAGAGTTTCAGAGGCTTGAGATGGATAGTAATTCTTTAAAAGTCAATTAAATGATTCTGAACATTAGTTCTTAATTTTGGCCACTAGGCATATTTACCTTGTTCTGTAGCAGATTCTCTTGTCTGTCGTTCCCCAATTTGCTACACATTGGGTCAACAAAAGTTCAATCTCCTACATTTTTTTTCCCTATAGGATCACACTAATAAACAAGTCTAGCTAAACATTGCATGTTAATGAAAGTGTTGACTAAATCATCTTTAATTATGAACATGTTTTGGTTGTTGTATTTGACATGAGTTGATAACCTCGAGACTGGAAAAATGAGATAGCTATGTGGCTCTTTAATAGAGTGAGGGACAATAGAACTAGCATCCAGGTGGAGGTTTCTTCTGGAGCTACTGAAGTGTGTACAGGTCAAGAGCGGTGCTCAGTGCTTGGAGTTCCTGGAAGTCCTACCTGTTCATGGTGCTTCTTCATGAGGATGAGGTCTTTTCTCATTCCCTCCACCTCTTGTTCCAGGTCTGTTGTGACAATGGTCAGGTTATCTAAGGTCTTTCGGAGATTCTCAACTTCAATTTCTAAGTCTTTCTTAAAGGAATGTTCATGTTCATACCTTTGGTTAGAAAGAAGGAAAGAGTATACCTGTTGTTGGAAGACCGTGATCTTCTTTTTAAAAAAATTATTTAATTTTATTTATTATAATTATTTTTTAAAAATTTGCTATAGGCCATGCATGCTTACCAGAGAGAGACAGAGAGTGAGAAAGTGAGAAGGCTGGTGGCTTTCAGGTCCAGGACTTGAACCCACAGTTGGCCATGTGGAAGTCCAGCATCTTAGCCACCACACCACCTGATGGCCCAGCTGTGGTCTTAAGTATTCACCTTAGTTTAGAGATGAATCTCTTCCTTTTTAGGTTTAGTGAGGGTAAATGAATACTTATAGGAAGGATATCCTTTGTATGTCTGTTTCATTCTGTGCTTTTCTGTGATGGTGACTCAATGTCTATTGTTTAATTGAGTGGAGAGATTAGAATTATAAATATCATATTCCCATCATCTACCTTAGCAACCATTAGAATTTTGCCATATTTGCTTCATCTATAGTCACTACTAAAATATTTTAAAGCAAATTATAGACATTTTAAAATTTTACCCCTAAATACTTCAGAATGCAGTAGTTCACATCTAAAAATGAATAACTCTAATATTATATACTTCTTTTTTAATGATAGCGAGTATGTGTGGAGAAGAGAGAGGGAAACTGACATCCTCTTGACAGAGTTTAGTCATGCCATGATCTTCTTTCCCCAGTCTCCCAGCAGCTCAGGATCCTGGGTACCTGCACATGTGCCCAGAATGTTTTTTTTTCATGCTCACCTGAGGATCTAAACCCTCGGTCAGCTATATGGCTTCCAGCCTTGCAGGGCATGTATGTCATTGTTGTGCCATAGTAGCTAGGTTTATCATTTAATTATTGCTTCATATTCCAATTTCCTTATGCTAAAACATGCATTTTATGTCTGGCTTGTATAAACTAAGGTCCATCTAAGTAGTATACATTGCATTTGTTGTTGTTACACCTTTTAATTATAACTCAGTAAGATTCTAGATGTGGGTCATGGCAGAATGAGTTTTCCTTTTGTAAAGCAGGCAAACAGAAAACCTGCACAGCACTGTGAAGAAGGAACTTACTTGAGGTTGAAGTCATCTGCTGCCATCCTGGCATTGTCGATGAGAAGGATGATCTGGGCGTTGGTCATCTTGCCATCCATTATCTGTAAATGTGCACCAAAAGTGATTTCAGTTGGACACACCTACACACGTGTAGAGAGCTTTATTTATGTTCTCTAATTTTCCTCAGTATTTGACCTGTCAGCCCAAACACATTCTTTTTAGGAGTGGAGCAGTGGCTAATAAAATCAGTAGATATTTAACTGAGCACATACTAGGCGCAAAGCGCAGAATGATTTTATCTTAAGGGTGTGATCTGCAATCAGTTTCACTGCTTGTTTTTTTTTTAACATTGAATATAGGCTGGGATTGATGCAACTGCTAAAGGAATGATACAGTATGGGGAAGGACAGTAATTGTTCAAAATGCCTTCTATGTTTCTGAATTATGAACTTGCCTCAGTGTTTTGCTTAAGTTATCCACATCTGAAGATGTTAAAAGGAATCTAGGCTGTGACATTTTTCTTACTGTGAATGTATTAGTTCAGCTCTTTTGAAGTACTTATTATTTTAACTAGACATGATTTTATTTTTTTGTAGAGACAGAGTCTTGCTGTATTGCCCAGGCTTGCCTCAGTTTTCTTGCCTCCACCTCCTGGGTAGCTGGAATTCAGGCACAGACCACTGTGCTTATCCTAGGTGAACATAATTCTGACTTGGGATCACATTCACATTTCCAATCAATGTTACCAAGCAAAGTTGACAAACTAATTTTAAATGTATTTCATAATAGCATCTCATAGCACAATAGCCTTTCTCCCAAAGCGACTGCAGCCATACACATACCTAAGGTGATGTGTTTGTATCTTACTCTATGATGAGAATGCTCCCATTGTAGCTGTTAAAATATTAACTGAAAGAATTATTTACTATTGAATGAAATGCTTAATAAGCTTTAATAGTGTTAAAGTCTGAGGTTAAAGACTCTCACTCGATGTTTATATACTTCACTTAAAAAAAAAGATATTGGGGGATTTGGACCACTGAAGAAGACCCTCTGCCCAGACTTCATCCTCCTGCTCCCTAGATCTAGCCAGGAGCCAGGTTAGAGCACCCTACTTCTCGCTTTCCATCTCTCGCTCTCTCTTTTTTTTTTTTTTGGTAAAAGAATTTTACTATGTGGCTTAGGTAGCTTTTTGCATTCTACTAACAGAAAAGCACATCTCTCTCTATTTTTAATTAAAAAATATTTTTATTGATCTATTTTTATTTAAATTTAATTATTTACATTCATTCACTGTACATCATTACAGTATACAAAATGAGATTTTCCATCCAGAGTACACTGTATATTGGCTCAATCAAGCACATCAACATATGTGTTATCGTCAACAAATAATTTTCCACTTCTTGTTTCCTGTATATTTTGCTTTTTTCCCCCATCCTTGATTCCCTATCTCTCACCTTCTGCCATCTCCCACCCTCCTCCCACAATATCTCTGGTATCCCATGGTTGCTTTTTATGCCCCCCCCCCACATTTTATTGATTCACTAAAGATCTTAATTAATCTAAATATTTTCAATAGCAAGCACAGCTGATATGCACATGTCCGTGAACACAAGTCTGACTTTAGGCATAAACCTCAGTGAGTAGAATGAAAATTTTTTTAGACTCAGCTCTCTGCTACTCCTTTTGTCTTTCTAATTCTTGTCTTTCTAATTCTTACCTTTCTCCCTCCCCCCATAGGATAAGCCAATCAGCAGCCATCTATATTTGAGTTCTGAGCATCCCCATTCAGGGATTTCGACCATTGAAGACCCTCTGCCCAGACTTCACCTTCCTGCTCCCCAGATCTATCCAGGGGCCAGGTTAGAGCACCCTGCTTCTTCTCTCTGTCTCTTTCCATCTCTCTCTCTCTTTTTAATGTCATTTAATTTTTAAGTTTTGCTCTCTGCTGCTCTTTTGTTTTTCTAATTCTTACTTTCCCCGCCCTCATAGGATAAACCAATCACCTTCCATTCATATTTGAGTTCTGAGCAGCCACATTCGTGCAGCGTGCTAGCACGCCATGCAGTTTTCATCTTTTGACAACAAATATTTTCTTCTCTTTTTCTTATTGTTTTTGTCTTTTTAAAAAATTCTCTTCTTCTTCTTAATTCCTTTTCCTTATCTTTTGACCTTTCTCACTTTTCTGCTCAGCCTCCACACACTGACTTTCTAGACAGATCTAGGTACTCAGTAGCCAAATATCTGGATACTTTTAGGGTCAGATTAATCCTCAATTTTCATTGAATCAGCTGTGCAAAGGGAGAAAAACAGTCTACATTCCTCTGAATGCTGAGACTTAACTCTAAAAAGTAGGAACTATAGTGAAGCAGTAAAATGTGAAGGAAAAAAGGCATGGAAAACAACTTTACACACCAGAGACAGTGTGGGAGAAGGAGGGGAATTGGCAGAGGGTAAGAGGTAGGGGATCAAGGAGGGGAAAAAAAAAAGGCAAAAGATATAAGAAACAAGAAATAGAAAATTATTTGTTGATGGTAACATGTACGGTTATAGCTTTAATTGAGCCAATATACAATGTATACTGGATGGAAAATCTCCTTTGGTATACTGTATTGATGTACAGTGAATGACTGGAAAGAAAGAAAGAAAGAAAGGAAGAAAGAAAGAAAGAAAGAAAGAAAGAAAGAAAGAAAGAGAGAGAAAGAAAGAAAGAAAGAAAAGAAAAGAAAAGAAAAGAAAAGAAAAGAAAAGAAAAAAGTAAGATATTGGGGCCAGATGGTAGCAGAGCAGTAAAACATGACACTGAGGCAGGAAGGCCACCCGTTCACACCCAGAGGCCTCCCTGAATATACCAGGCATGCGTGTGCCTGTTTTCCTGGCTGGCTGAAGCTGGGGGTAGATCACAGTGTTAAGACCCTGTCAAGGGGGCTGTATTTCTATATATGTCTGTCTGGCTCTCTTATTCATGGAAGAAATTACAAAGTTTAAAATAAATATGGTTGAAAATGTTAACCTGGGCAATTGTGTATGCAGTATGTTATAATCAGAGAAATGGTACACATTTGACTTATGTTACTCTCTTTCGGAAAAGGGGGGGAAGGTGTCTCAGTGTCAAAAGCATATTATTGCTGTGTATTGTGCTGGTATTGTGCCAAAATAAGAATTGGGAGCTTTCCTTTGGTTTGTGTTCTGCTACTGACCATCGTGTGGAATTGTGCCAGTCACTCTGCTCCTGGGGCTTCAGTGTCACCACCTGTAAATTATATCATGGAGTAGGACCAGCAGATGGTATAATGGTTACATCACTGGACTCCTGCATAGTTGACTGTGGTTCGAGTTCTGGACCTGGTGACTTAAAACTCATGCTGGGTGTGAGTACGTGTGTGCCTAAGATGCCAAGAGGAGAAGGGATTGCGGCACGGCCATCCTTTTGGAGGGGGGTTTCTTGCTTTCTGTCTCTCGGTCTCCCCAGTGAATGTATGCACCCTATAGTAAAAAAATCTCTCTTCAAAAGAAATGATATCATGGAGTTTATACTAGAAACAGGTGACGTTAGCGATCTTAGATCTAAACTTCTGTAATTTATTTGGAGTCAGAGAATCCTGTGACATTCCCATTGTATTTATTCAGTTAATTCCTTTATTTAAAAAGGATTTTCTTGAGACAAAGCAATACCTCCACACAAAGGCACCTTTTAGAAGTCTGCACCTTCTTAAAGCTTCACTGATTACATGGAATGTGGTATCATGAATGCACTTATAGCAGGATTCCAAGGTGGTAAGAACACCAGGTCTGGAACTCCAGGAGTGGGGCCTGGGATCCAGTTCCAGCACCCACTAGCTAAATGAGCTTGGCTGATCCTTAGTTTCTTCATCCATAAAATGGCAAGAATAATAGTCACTTAATCCAGGAATTCTAAGAATTAGAGGAGATCAAATAATTTTGTAAAATGGTATATTCTTGACGTACTGTAAAATTAGTTGAAACTGAATAGTTCAGAAAAGTGTAGCTCATACGATTTTCTTTATTAAAAATTCTAGTACTTTTGTAGAGTCAATGTCTATACTAGATATCTCTCTCTCTCTCCTAAAGTTTATTTCTTTCTGAGAGAGAGATGAGAGAGAGAGAGACAGAGAGATAGGCATCCCCAGCAGGATCCCTCATGCCATGATCCAAGCATTGGATTATTGGCAAGCATTCCTGGTGTGCTCAGGCAGGTCCGGGGACATGAACCTAGGATCTTTCCTATGTAGCTGCCATTGTATTACTGCTGTGACACAGCCTGGCCCCTCCCCAAGTTTTACACGTTGCAATACAACCTCAAACTTTTGCTGTTCTTAGGGAGAGCGCCAGTCTGGCTGCCTCTGCCCAATTTCCTTCTTCCATTTGTGGAATTCCAAAGGGTGCTATGACTTTGCCTTTGCTCTAAAAAGGGATACTGTAGATATTTCCTCATCTTTTCTCTACAGTGCTGCTTAGGAGCATTCATAGCAATAGTTCTTTTCTCTGCAGGTTCTTTTTTCTTTGTATTATCTGAACTCATGAAAAAAAAATCTCCATCCCCAAAAACCTGGGGACCCCTGGATTAAATCTTACCTTTTTGTGCACTTAGTTACTCTCTTTGACACATACCATACAGCACTGATGGACATCCAAGGAAACCTAGTGCTATACATGCTATAGCACCAGAACATCAAAAATACTATCTGTGGGTCTATTTGGCTTTTCTGGGTTAAAGTGATAATTTCTTCATTGTAAAACCCACATGCAGTGTCCAGTCTTCTAGTCATAGTTAATGAGTGTGTGAGTTCTGAAATGTACTTGAAAAAAAGTACATTTAGGTTTACTTTATATGGTGTTATGATACAGTCATTATTCCTGAGCCGGTTCTCATGGTAGTGAATGGATAAAGACGGATTGAGAAAGAATATAGGAGGCACAGGTTTTGCATTGTATGTTGTAATTAATCACCTAGATTCTCCCTAAGGCTCTGAATTCACTCTTTTAAAATCTAGTTGGTATAGTAATGCAGCATTTTTGCTCCAAGGCTTATGATCTCCTAGTAGGGAGAGGAAAATAGAATGTTGGGCCGTAAACCAAAATGCTAAATATAGTACTGTTGAGAATCATTCAGAGTTTTATTTATGATGCCCTATGACTATGTCCAGTCATGGATTTCAAAATGGATTAATTTTTTAGCTCAATTTTTTTATTTCCTTTTTCCTTCTTTCTTTTTTTCCCCTCTTTCTTCCTTCTTTGTTTCTCTTCCTTCCTTTCTCCCTCCCTCCCTCTTTCTTTCTTTCTTTCTTTCTTTCTTTCTTTCTTTCTTTCTTTCTTTCTTTCTTTCTTTCTTTCTTTCTTTCTTTCTTTTTTCTTTCTCTTTTTTAGTTTTTGACATAGGCATGTGTACTCACCAGAGAGAGAGACAGAAAGAGAAAGTGAGAAGGAAAGTGAGAAATAACCACCAAGGGGCTGACCATGCAACAATCCCATCTCCTCCATTCTCCTCTCTGGATTTTGGGCACACATGCACATGCACAGGTATGATTTTCAAGCCGCCAGGCCTGGAACTCAAATTGTGGTAGGCTATGTGGAATCTAGAGCCTTAAGTACCATGCCACTTGCTGGCCTCTTTTTAAAAGAATGTTTATTTATTTCTTGAGAGAGAAAAAGAGAGAAAGAAATAGATACCCCCAACTAGACTTTCTTCTGCAATCCACCCCAGCCTCAGTTGGCCTGGATCATAGGCATGCACATGCATGACCAGCAGAATGGTCATGGTCATGGGAATCCAGGACCTTTCTTGCCAGGTGGGTCCCTGGTTAATTATTAGGGTGATTATTCAATAATTTGGGTTTGCATTACCACTGCACCACTGCCTGGCCTTGAACTCAATTTCTTTCTTCTTTTTTAAATAGACTTTTTCACATATTTAAAGAATTATTTTATTTAACTTTATTTATTTATTTATTTATTTAAATGTGATCAGAGAGGGACAGAGTGAGAGAAAGAGAGAGAAAGTGAGAAAGCAACCCGCCACGTTCGGAACTCGAACCTCTGTCGGCCATGTGGGAGTCCAGCGCCCTTAGCCACTATGCCACCTGCTGTCTCCAAACTAAATTTCTCAGGCTTTTTGAGTAACATCTTGTATCTCCAAAGTGGAGGTGGAGAAGAGCTGTATCTACTTGGAGCATTTCCTTAAGACCCAGGTCCAGCTCTAGGTAATTGTGAGACCTCTTTGGTCCTCTGTTTTCTCATCTGTAAATGGGTAAGGTTGAGATAGACAACCTCAACTGAAATAGCTGTTTTTTGCCAACAAAGGGGTAATGCAACAATGCAACACAAACT